AACCAAATTATTATTAAGATTAATGGACTAGGACGAAATTTATCAAACGGTTACTCAACCGAACCTCTGGCGCCAATTTTCATGTCAGACGCAAAAAAAAAGAGCTTCGCTCAACAAAATAACACAGTTTGGGATGTGATGAGATAATACACAAGGACTATCCTCGACAGTAATGTTAAGGCTTAGTGGCAGCTCCTCTGTAATTCGCAGAAACCAAATTATTATTAAGATTATTGGACTAGGACGAAATTTATCAAACGGTTACTCAACCGAACCTCTGGCGCCAATTTTCATGTTAGACGCAAAAAAAGAGCTTCACTCAACAAAATAACACAGTTTGGGTTGTGATGAGATAATACACAAGGACTATCCTCGACAGTAATATTAAGGCTTAGTGGCAGCTCCTCTGCAATTCGCAGAAACCAAATTATTATTAAGATTAATGGACTAGGACGAAATTTATCAAACGGTTACTCAACCGAACCTCTGGCGCCAATTTTCATGTCAGACGCAAAAAAAAGAGCTTCGCTCAACAAAATAACACAGTTTGGGATGTGATGAGATAATACACAAGGACTATCCTCGACAGTAATGTTAAGGCTTAGTGGCAGCTCCTCTGCAATTCGCAGAAACCAAATTATTATTAAGATTAATGGACTAGGACGAAATTTATCAAACGGTTACTCAACCGAACCTATGGCGCCAATTTTCATGTCAGACGCAAAAAAAGAGCTTCGCTCAACAAAATAACACAGTTTGGGATGTGATGAGATAATACACAAGGACTATCCTCGACAGTAATGTTAAGGCTTAGTGGCAGCTCCTCTGCAATTCGCAGAAACCAAATTATTATTAAGATTACTGGACTAGGACGAAATTTATCAAACGGTTACTCAACCGAACCTCTGGCGCCAATTTTCATGTTAGACGCAAAAAAAGAGCTTCACTCAACAAAATAACACAGTTTGGGTTGTGATGAGATAATACACAAGGACTATCCTCCACAGTAATGTTAAGGCTTAGTGGCAGCTCCTCTGCAATTCGCAGAAACCAAATTATTATTAAGATTAATGGACTAGGACGAAATTTATCAAACGGTTACTCAACCGAACCTCTGGCGCCAATTTTCATGTCAGACGCAAAAAAAAGAGCTTCGCTCAACAAAATAACACAGTTTGGGATGTGATGAGATAATACACAAGGACTATCCTCCACAGTAATGTTAAGGCTTAGTGGCAGCTCCTCTGCAATTCGCAGAAACCAAATTATTATTAAGATTAATGGACTAGGACGAAATTTATCAAACGGTTACTCAACCGAACCTCTGGCGCCAATTTTCATGTCAGACGCAAAAAAAAGAGCTTCGCTCAACAAAATAACACAGTTTGGGATGTGATGAGATAATACACAAGGACTATCCTCCACAGTAATGTTAAGGCTTAGTGGCAGCTCCTCTGCAATTCGCAGAAACCAAATTATTATTAAGATTAATGGACTAGGACGAAATTTATCAAACGGTTACTCAACCGAACCTCTGGCGCCAATTTTCATGTCAGACGCAAAAAAAAGCTTCGCTCAACAAAATAACACAGTTTGGGATGTGATGAGATAATACACAAGGACTATCCTCGACAGTAATGTTAAGGCTTAGTGGCAGCTCCTCTGCAATTCGCAGAAACCAAATTATTATTAAGATTAATGGACTAGGACGAAATTTATCAAACGGTTACTCAACCGAACCTATGGCGCCAATTTTCATGTCAGACGCAAAAAAAGAGCTTCGCTCAACAAAATAACACAGTTTGGGATGTGATGAGATAATACACAAGGACTATCCTCGACAGTAATGTTAAGGCTTAGTGGCAGCTTCTCTGCAATTCGCAGAAACCAAATTATTATTAAGGTTAATGGACAAGGACGAAATTTATCAAACGGTTACTCAACCGAACCTCTGGCGCTAATTTTCATGTCAGACGCAAAAAAAAAGAGCTTCGCTCAACAAAATAACACAGTTTGGCATGTGATGAGATAATACACAAGGACTATCCTCGACAGTAATATTAAGGCTTAGTGGCAGCTCCTCTGCAATTCGCAGAAACCAAATTTTTATTAAGATTAATGGACGGTTTTATCAAACGGTTACTCAACCGAACCTCTGGCGCCAATTTTCATGTTCCACTTTTCTGAAAATATAACAATTCCAGCTTTACCATGCTAGTTTTCGAAATATTGATTGAAAATTGCGCCAAATCTACATTTTGACTGCGCAACCATAAACTATTTTACTGAGCAACATGCGAAGTTTTCCCTCGGTAGAACACAGTCAAACTGTTTTTTTATCGGATGGAATTCTTCTCGGTCGTAAAAAACTGGGTCCAACTCAGTCGGAACGTTTTTCCTCGGTCGAACTCAGCCGAAATGTTTTTTTTTTAAAAATCTCGGTCGAAGTTCTTCTCGGCTGAACAAACGCCCCGGTCGAACTCAATCGAAACGTCGTGTTTCCTCGATTGAACTTGGTCGAAATATTTTTCCTCTTCGAACTTGGTCGAAACGTTTTTCCTCGGTCGAACCTGATCGAAATATTTTCCTCGGTCGAACATAGTCGAAACATACACAGCTTGGGTCGAGTCGATCGAAACATATCGAGCCTGAGATGAGACCGTGAAAACATACCATTTTTTGGCCGAGTCAAAACATAAATCACAAACCTCGACCCGGGAAGCAATTATCAACTTCGTTTGTTTTTGGGACTAAAACTTTGCTTAGTTGCTTTCCCCACTGTCAGTGTGGTCTGTATGGTGTGTATGTAATGTGATTACAGAAGATTGGGCAGCTGTCAAACACTTCGTGACATTGTTGAGTTCTTCTTTCAGTATCGAGGTCTCGTCATGATCTCCCCGGGTTGACCTCCATATACCGAAAATGCTTATCATACAATTCCATACATCAAGTGTGTGGGAAAATGCTTGTCATACAATTTTCATACAATTTCTAAAAATGGTTGAAAACTGGTATTAACTCATTTCTGTGGCTGTTTGATTCTAATAAAACAATCTGGTGATAAAAACTGAGGTTTTCGTTTTTTGAAAAAAATGCTTATCATACAATTCCCATATATGGAAATTGTATGACTGGCATTTTTTTGGTGGCGACACAAAAAATTTTTCAAGTAGTTTTGAAAATTAAGCCCAAAAATTTTTTTGTTTTTTTTTTTCAACCGCAAATCGATTTTCGTACGCAAACAAACATTTTTCGAAAAAAAAAAATTTTGCATGCAAAATTTAATATTTTGTGTGCATAACGTAGTCCTGGGTACGATAAAATTGGCTTAATTTTTTCTTTTCACTTAATTTTTTTTTCAAAAACGCTGAAAATTCCTCTTTCTTTTGTATGGGGTGTTAATAAACGCCTTGATCAATGTCTGATAATTTGAAAATTCAAAAATTTAATATAATCATCATTAAAAAATTTTGCCAAAAAATAAAAGTTTGTTACTTTTGTTATATCAATTGTGAAAGACAGCCAAATTCAGGTCGTTTTCTATGCATTGTAAATGCAAGACCGTCCAACCTTTGGTGTTTTGAGTAACCAAGGTCTTTGTCACTTGTGTTTGGATGCAACTACAACCGAAAATTTTTCAGAAACTAAATTTAGAAAGAAAAATTCAAGATTTTTTGTTTATGGGAAAACATCTATCATACAATTTTCATATATGGAAAAATGCTTATCATAGAGTTTTCATACAATTTTCTGTACGTATGGAATTGTATGACAAGAAATTTCTCATATATGGAAATTGTATGATAAGAAGTTTTGGTCAACCCGGGTCTACTCGACGCATGAACTCTGAGCTGTTTCCCGTCTGCTCATCAACTTTTTATAGCTCCATAATTTCCCTCTGTGCGTTTTTATCTCCTCTGTTTGCTCGCCTTCATCTCTTCCCATGTCAAACCCGAGTATTTTGTAATTTATTGTAAGTTTCATAGCAGGAACTTGTAAGTTTATGCATAAATCCGCCAGAATCTTGTAAGATTCTTGCAGATGGTACAAGACAAACATTTTTTGTAGGAGTCTTGCAAGACAAACATTTTTTGCAGGAATCTTACAAGATACACATTTTTCTGGCAGAACTTTACAAGATTGGCATGTTTCGGTCAAAGTCTTGCAATATATGGCAATTCGGGCAATTTTTTTTTGTCAAAATCTTACAAAAGTCAGATGAAATATTTTCTAAAAATCCAAAAGTTTTCTGTACTCTCGAATCTATAGTTGAACAAGACTTACAATTTTAACGATTAAAGTGAAACAAAATCAACAATCGCTGAAATTATCAAGTCTTACTGAAAATCACCATGGTCGAGGTGCTCACTTTATGTTTCGACCGTTGAGGTATGTTTCGATTATGTGTTCGACCCAAAGCCTTGTCTCGACTCTTCTTTTTTGGTTGAGTACTGAAATGTGTTCGACTTGCAAAGCCGAAACATGTAGTGAGCACCTCGACCCGGGCAGCACATAATGTGGTCTAAATTTAAAGCTGGCAGATAAGAATGTCAAAATGTCTTTTCGACGAAGATCGTTTATTGTTGTTTTTTCTCTTCAAGTAAAATTAGCTATCTGCAAACTCAAGTGCTCGATTGTTGAGATATGTTTTCAAATTAATAAATCTAAAAACCTTCAAAACCAAGTTATTAACCAAAACGTAAAAATAAACAAATGTTCCACATACAAGCCGTCAATCATTTGGAAAACGTCAAGTAGGCTCCGAAACAAAATTAATGCTAGAGCGAAACTAAAAAAACCTTATAAAAAAGTCGACAAAAATTTCAAAAATAATTGAAAATCCAAACCCCCTCCCCCCCCCCCCCCCTCGAGAAAATCCTAGATCCGCCCCTGGTCGCAACATTCTAATCTACTTAAGAACATTCTGGAACATTCTATCACCCTTTGTGAACATACTATATCATACTCTGGCTATCCTTGTTTTTCATTTATATATTTAGGTCCGGAAAAGCAGGTAAGCGATGTTCTTTTTGAAGACTACATCAACACAGAGAGGCCAGTGAAAAACAAGTCACAGGTTGTGACGGTCAACGTCAGATTGTCACTCAACCAAATCATGGATCTGGTTAGTAATAATGAATATCTTTCACTTTTTGAATTAGTTGAAGGTTGAAATTCGTTAAAATTAGAAATCATTTAACGTGGTTAGGAAGTTAAAGGATTAGTTAAAAATCACCGCAAGGTCAAAAATTTTGTCTGCTAGGTAGTAGTCCAACTAGCCAAGAACAGAATTACCTTTTTAACAAGTTAAATTTTGTATCAACAGCGCATAATACGGGAAATAATAATATTTAAGTCACCTAATGCTTGCCCAAACTAAACACTAGTCTAAAAAATTTATTCTCTCATTTCGTATCTTGTTAACTATTTCCCCCCTATTACCATAGGGGCCGGGGATAATTACAAGGTACAAAATTCGTATACGCGCTTAACTGTTCAATTCTTTATTTATATCCCTCATTCCAATTAAAAGATGATTCTCTTTTTGAAATTTTCTGTTTTGAGAAATTTACCCGTTGAGTTATTTATTGCGTTTTTATACCGAATTAAACAATATTTTCAGCAATTGAGTACATTTAACACAACTTGAAGAAAACTATTGGGTATGAATTTTATCCGATGACAATTCCCAAAATTAAGCAGATTTTCTCTTTTTAAAGACGTGTCCCTTCTCACACAAAAAAAGTGCGCCTATCTAAGGCACAGTTTCGCCTCGTAATGTATTATGATAATTGATTTGATTATGATTATGAATATTAACATTTTATGGTTTTTATTATCATTATTGATATTTATGATTTTCATTATACTTATGATTATGATGATTATCTTGATTATTATGATTATGAATAATTTAATATGATCAGTGGCGGATTGAGGGGCGATGCCCCCTTTCCTCAGGGCTTCGACTCCCTGCCGACCCAAAAGGTCCACCCTTTGTACTATTTTGAGATATCCAATTTTGGTTACGGACCCTTGGTTACTGTTCAGAAATTTCGGCCAAAACAGGTTTTTTTTAGTACTTTGGGAGAACTCAGAAAATCAATTTGGTCGACCTAAAAATTTTTTTTTCTGAAAATCCGCCCCTCCCCTCGAGAAAATCCTAGATCCGCCCCTGGATATGATTATGATTATTATTACTAAAATTTCTTATGATGTTTTTGTATATCTTTGTTGTGGTTTTTTGTTATTTTGATTATTTTGATTATTAGAAATATAATGAACTTGATTTCTACGATATTTTTGTTATTTTTGATGGTTGGTATTATAATTATCAGTTTTTTTTTTCAATCTTTTTATTAAAAAATAATAATCATTATGATGATTAAAAATTTGTTTTTCTGAGATAGAAGCCATCAATTACATTAATTGTCAAATTTTACAAAAATTGTCAAATAATGTTTTAGTTGAAGTCTTAATTTCAATTTGAATTGCACGTGTTGAACTAAATTTTTGATGAAAATAGAGCAAAGAAGAGCAAAGAGGAGCAAAACTGAGACCAGAAATAGTCAGAAAACAGAATTTTCTGAAGACTTTTGAAAATTAAAAATTCAGATTTTAAATATAGATTTGAAATATATTTTTTCAGATCTGAACTAACCATGAAACAAACTTTAGATTTGAAATTTAGATCTAAAATAGTTATTTTCAGATCTGAAAAAGCATAGCATTGAAAAGCTTTTTTAAGGTTCAATCCTTCATACGCGAAGGGCCGAATGCGCGAAAATAAAAATCTAAAATTTGGAAAGAAAGTAAAAACATTTAGTAAACATTCTCAGGTACTGAATATTGATATTGGCCGAACATGAAAACGGCAGAAATATATTTCAAGGGCCGTTTCGTTATAAAAGAAGCAAACCATTGCTTCATTTAATTCATTTTAACTGAATGACAATTGCTTCTTTTCAAATATTGATTTTCGGCTAACTTTGTTTTCGGTCATTCGCTCATGAATTTTTTCGCTCATTTGGTCCTTCGCGCATGAGAATAGCGCCCTTTTTGAAATCTGATTTCAATAATAGATATAAAATTCAGATATAAAAAAGGAGGTCAGATCGTCCTTAATGATTGTTCTCAGTACGGCAGCACATTGGTATAAAAATGCGTGCTAAAATGTCTAAAAAGTTTATTCCCTAATTGAAGAAGAGGAGCTATCTTGTAGTATCTTGTAAAATTCTTGCAGAAATGACCTATCTTGGAAAGTTTAGAATGTAACTGGCTATCTTGCAAGCTACGTACAACATCTATAAAACTTGAAGTTTGTACCTGAAACAATATAAAAAACTGATTTTAGCGCGATTGTGAAATATTGACGTCTAATTCAAATACTAAGGCTGAAAAAAATATTTCAGAGTTCTTTTCAAATTTTTCTGCCAGTGAATACTAGAAGAAATATAATTATTACTGAACAAATTTTAGCCAAAGAAAGCATAGTGAGATAAAAATTTTCATCAAAAAACAACTAATTCAAAAAACAACTCAAAAATTCCTAAACTAATTGATGAGCTGAAAAGTAAAATGGAAAACTAACAGTAACAAGACGAAAAGTTTCAAAAAATAGTGGCTTAATAACGGCACGCTTTTATCTGCGGCACTGCACTATATTGGTGCCTGTGAAAAAAACTCAAGCATATGTCGTTCCAACTTTTCAAGAAAACCTCTGTGCTTTTTTTCAGGCCATTTGTGACTTTTTATCAAAATGTGGGTAGATATATTTATGCCACTTGAAAAACAAAATCATTTCTTGAGCTGAAAACGAAATGTTTTTCTTCTATGTCTGCTTTCTCTTTGGCGAAAAATTTGAAACAAAATAGAGGCAATCTAATTAACTAATAATAATACTTTGGTAGACACAAGTTTTGCCATATTGTACTGTTTGCTACGTTTGAGGTGAAGTTTTCAAAACAACAGTAAGCACTAATTTTTTAACTACAAATAGCTATTTCAGACACGCTGCATGCTCAACGAAAGCCAAAACATGTGAGCAGTTTTTTTGAGAAAATCATTCTAGAAAGAAAGAAAAAAAGTTTAATTTTAATGAGCCAATGTTGTAAAAAGACTTGAGTTTTACTTGATTATGACTTCGAAAATACAATGGGAACCATAAAATTTTTTGGCAGTTAAGCTTTTATGCATATTCGAGCAGATCGGAGAAGTTCTGCTGTCTGGGTTAGCTAATATTAGCTAACACTAAGGTAAAATCGTGAAACCCGGGACAATTACAACAACTCTGATTTAACTCCAAATATTTAACGCGACTGCTCGTATCAGGGCGAAGCCTTGAATGTTCTGACTGCCTTTTAAGGTTAATGAAGCAGTAATAACATCAAAAAGTTAAAGGTAATAAAACAAAATGAATTTTTTTTCTTCTAAAATTTGAAATTTTTTTCTGAAAACCATCCCCCCACACGCCGTATAAAGTACAAAAGGATAAATTGCGCTCCTTGTAACGAATCAGTTATGGCAAACAAGCTTTTTTCAACCAATTTGGAACGATTTCTAAGACGGATTAACTCTCCGCTTACGCATTAATAGCGCGAAACATATCGCACGTTAATTGTCCCAAATTGGCCAAAATGGCCGAAATGGCAATCTTTAAACCCCAATAACTTGACGAAAAGTAATCACAGGTAAAATATCTTTTCAAATTTGAGCTTAGGACAACAATACCTTTTGAATGATATAAAAATGGCTAGTTAAGAGTCGAAATTTGTCTGAAGAAAAATAACCCACCCCGAGCACAAATATTCCGTTACCTTCGTATCGAAAGTCGGAACAATAATATTTCTAAACAGAAAGCGTTTCTAAATTTTGTCATCCATTGTGTAAACGGTTTCATAAATCTGTTTCACCGTAGAAAGGTTGCTTTCTCTTTTCAAGTAGGCTTGAGTAGAAGGATAAGTATCAACAAAATGAACGTTTATTTTTTTTTCAGCGTTTTTTCTGAAAAGTTTGAGTCATTTTTAAGCCAAACTTTTAATCATGCGCATTAAAAGAAAGCCAGAAAATTCGAAGCGTCGCCCTGATGCGAGCAAGTAAGTTCAGTTGTGACTCAAAATTCTGAATGGATTAGGAGAAACAGTTCCCGAAATAATTGAAAAAGGCTTCACCAATTTTATAATTTTCGGAAATAGTTCGGAATTGATTCTACAAAGATACTTGACACAAACTAAAGGGCACGGCAATTAGATCAGTTCGGTTGTTGTTCCGACTTTTGATACGAAAGTAACGGAATATTTGTGCTCGGGGTGGGTTTTTTTTTCTTCAGACAAATTTCGACTTTTTAACTAGCCATTTTTGACAATTTTTTAATATCATTCGAAAGATATTGTTGTCCTGGGCTTAAATTTGAAAAGATTTTTCACCTGTGATTTTTCGTTTAGTTATACGTTTTTAAAGATTGCCATTTTGGCCAATTTGGGACAATTAACGCGCGATATATTTCGCGCTATTAACGCGTAAGCGAGATTTAATCCGTCTTAGAAATCGTTCCAAACTGGTTCAAGGAAGCTTATATGCCATAATTGATTTGTTAATAGGAGCAAAATCTATCACTTAGTACTTATTATGACGTGTGGGGGGATGATTTAAAAAAATTCAAATTTTAGAAGAAAATTATTTCATTTTTTTTATTACATTTAATTTTTTTATGTTATTACTGCTCCATAAAACTTAAAAGGCAGTCGGAACATTCAGGGCTTCGCCCTGATACGAGCAGTCTTGTTGACATTATAATTGTTTACTTGCTTTCTTCGAAATGAGGCTTTCGGCATCAAGGAAATCAGTGCTCTGAGTGTGTTTAGAATATCATCCAGCAAGCGCTCACAGCTATCTACTCGTGCGAGCTGGTAAGTCGAATTTAAACTGACCATATTTTCACTGCCTTCAATTATCAGATGAGGCTTCATGATTTTTGCTGAATAGCTTCACTGGTACAGGATTTATACAAACCCCCTTCTTAATTCTGTTGATGGACTTGACATAGTCCGAGTGAATTCAATTTTAAAGCACTTAAACTCGCACTGTAAGCTTTTTCATAGGCTCGATTTTGTTTTGGGCTCAAAAAGAATCTGTTCCCAACCTTACTTATTAAAGGGTTGGAGGCTGAAACTTACGACTACCAATGAACCAATGTAAGAATGAAAAGATTTTAGTAAATGTGTTTATGAAGAGCTGGACTGATGAATTCCTACGCTGGAATCCAGCCGAGTTTGGAAACGTGACAAGAATCCGGGCGGACAAGTCAAAGATATGGCTGCCAGACATCAATGTTTTCCAAAGGTAGTAACGGTTGAGAATAAATGCTAAAAATGGTCGGATTTACAGAGTTTCCACGTGAATTTGTTGCTATCTAATTATTCAACTAATTTTCCTGGCTCTCCTTTGAAACATCCTTATTGCTACTGAATTGTTCATTACTTTACAAGTCAAAGCGTGATTTCATTTTTTTGCAAAGTGTTTGGCCTCTCTTCTAAGCATCAAAAAGGGGTGTTCTGAACTCGTAATAATTCGTGCGCTTTATGTTTTAAAGGTGAAGCAAAGTTACTTGATATTCTAAAAAAATAACAAGATTAGTTGGGGCCTTAGTTTACCTTTTCTTGTTCGTTTGAAATTTCGTCAATCCGTCAAACGTGTGAAAAGTTTGATACCATCCGGGTCGACAACCGCGACTAATATTTTGGCTTTGTCGGTGGCGCCTATGTGAATTCCGCGACCGAAAATCCATAGGCTGGATAGGTTTCTATAGTCGCGGACAAGTTAAACTCCGAGTTGGATAAATTGGTTGACAAAAATTGATTTTAGTGAGAATTCGTTTTAAACGGATTGAAAAAAAACCAAAAAATGTTTTCCGCCCTTTTACAATAGGACAGGAGGCAAATTTTTTGAGAAAAAAAGTCAACCCTACCCCAAAAAAAAACGCCTCTGGCCTGGATAATAGGTTTTGGTCATTTAACTGAGTTCTAATTGAAATCTTCCTTAGTCTGCGTCCTCTTCACATTATCTGAAAAATGAGGTTTTGATAATTAAGTCCCAGGGTGATCCATACACCAAAAATGCTAGTCATACAATTGTCAAGATTTTTTTGAATACACTTCAGTAAGGGAAGAACGCTATTCATAGAAATTCCATATATGAGGAAAAGTTAGTCAAGAATTTTTCAATCAGTTTTTTGATGTATCAAATGAATGGGCCATAATATGGAAACTGTATGGGTTGTTTGAGGATCAACTGGGTGGACGTGAAGAGTCTGGAGCAGGTGCTGACCAACCCTAAACTGAGAAGTGACGGCAGAGTCACAATGCAGCAGCCCCTCTACCTCAAGTCCGCTTGTTCAGTCAATGTCAAGTGAGTTGCTAAGATCCCGGGCCGAGATGCTCACTTTATGTTTCGACAAAGAGTTAAACTCAGTCATTAAAATATTTGCTGTTTTGCTAGCCTTGAAAAAAAAATTTCAAGCTGAAAGCGTTCGAAAAACAGTTTGTCGGGAAAAATGTTTTGGCTTAAATGTTTTTTCTTCTAAAATGCACTAAGTACATGCAATTTAAAATGAATAGCTTGAGAACTTGAGCCCGATACAAAACATGCTCTTATTCATGTGGACAGTATTTTAACTCCAATAAACTGAAACAGCTGAAATCATTTGTCTTCAAATTTTATATGATTCACCTTAAGCTTGAAACAAAACCCCAATTTTTCAAAAACGATATAATGTGAACTAATTGATACTTCTTGAATCCCATAAAGTGTTGTTTCTTGTTGTGATTTAACCTATTTCAGTATGTTTTAACCTTGACCTCTATGTGGGAATTAAGTACCAGTTAACGTTTATCACACTTTTATTATGGCACAGTCATCAACTGATTCGAATCTGCGGGGAATTCCCGCCTTTTGGCCAAATCACACGATAGAACCACCCACCCAATGGAACAACTGGATAGACCAATTTCATCTGGCTATCATTGCTTAATAAAATTTGGATATAGATAATTCTAGAAGGCGCCCAGAAGGCATCCCTATCCTAGAAGGCATCCCTATCCTAGAAGGCGCCCAGGAGTCAGAAAATGAACCACAGAGGAAAGCCAGGGAGGCCAGAAATAAAGAGACCATGCAAGTCTACTAACACGCGGAGGATAAAAGAATAGCAGAAGAGAAACGAAAAATTGGAGGCATGAGGAGATATGAGGCCGACAAAAAAGTGAGATCAATCTTATATTTGGCCCTAGGAGCGAAAGGAAAGAGAATTTTTGCTCAAAAACACCCAAGAGTTAAAAGTCCTAGTAATCTCTTTCAAAGAATTTTTCGATCTACTGGAATCTGCTTTTATCAAACCGACAGATGTTATATTTGAACGATACAAAATGCTGAGCAGAAAGCAAAAGACAGGGATTCCAATGAACAATTTTGGGGCGCACTATAAGACTTAGCAAGATCATGCGAAATTGGAATCAACGCTGAACAGGAGTGGATAAGAGATGTTTTTATTTTCAACATGAAAAATTGTGATTTACAACGAAGATTACTTTCGGAAACTCCTAATCCAGTGGATGCAATCAACCAAGCCTTCTTCGACGAAAAAAGCTACTACAAAAATCTGAAACTAACAAACATGACTAGATCATTCAACAAGACAGGAAGAAGCGGCAGAGTGTACAAAATTTTTAATAATGTAAAAAAGGAACCAAATTTGAACATAGAAAGATCCAATACTTGTATGAAATGCGGGAATGCGTTTACCAAGGGTCACCTGAATGTGTGTCCGGCGAAGGAAATAATCTGTAACATTTGTAAATATAAAAGACATTTTGAAAAACTGTGTAAATCGAAAGGAAGAAAACCCGCTGTAAATACTGTAGAAGAAGTTGTAAATAGTCAGAATTGTTCATACTCCACAGAAGACCCAAAAGCAAGAATTGAAGAAACATTTTGTGGCGTGATTAATGACTGGACAGAAGAGGGGATCAGCGACAAGGACGACTATTCCGTTCTTAACATCAGAACCATCTATGACACCAATGGTATGGAAACCAAGAAATTGGTTAACATTGGTTTGGGAGACAACGCGATAGTTAACCTGAACATTCCAGTACATTTGGCGAGTTCAGTAAGCTTCCTGAAGCAAAACGTCCGGCATGAACTGAAGTTGAGAAACTCATATTTGAAAATCCACTCAGTAGACAAGAAGACTCGTGAATTATACTGCGGGTTTACCAACGATAAAATCAACATCATCGGGAAAATTGAAGTTAGAATACAATCCAATGGATGGATCGCGGAAGAAACTCCATTTTTATCAACACTGGAAACGAGAGGAACATAGTGGGAAACGATAATTTACCACGAATCGGAATCGAAATAGCCCAACGACAACCACCACTACCCGTCAACAACGTAACCCTTCCAAATTCGCGTAAGTCAAATAATCATTCAGACAAAATCCTTAATTTGTACGATAAATACAAAGGATTACTTACCAGAGTAGGAAAAATACCATTGGACAGAAAAATCATTCATTTCTATTCCCCGTTCAAACCTATCCAAACGAAAGGCAGAAGAGTTCCTCTGCATTTACTAGATAGTGTAAAGGTGGAATTAAATAGAATGGAAAAAGAGGGGCATATTGTGAAACTAAGCAAATGTGACAAAGACTGCTTTTTTAATCCAATAGTGATAACAAGAAAAAAAGACGGTAGTATCAAGTTGGCTTTAGATTCGAAACTCTTAAATGATCAGATATTCAAGAACAAATATCAAATGCCAAACATACACGAGCTCATCGACAACATAGCTCTTCAACTTTCTAATAAGGATTCCGGGGAAGTCTGGTTTAGCAATTTAGACCTACAATATGCGTACAGTCAGTTACAGTTATGCACAGACACTAGCAAACAATGTAATTTTAGTATCATAGGTGGTAAAACCACCGGAACTTATAGATTGTTGACGGGGTTTTACGGACTAGGCGATATGCCAAACGAGTTCCAGAGGTTGATCAGCCTTAAACGCCAATCAAAGTAACAAAACTATGCACAGCAGACTGACCCGTTGGGTAAATCGACGCTTACCATTTAATTTCAAGATCAAACACAAACCAAGAAAAGACATGGGATTTACAGATTTATTGTCGAGATTACCTTCAAGAAAAACCCTCCCAACCTCACACTACGATAACGAATTTGTAGTGGCAACAGTAAAAAGGATTGTAGATAACCTCTCTGTAAATATTGATTGTAAAAAGAATAATTGTACAAAGAAAGAATTGTACAATCCAGCGGATTTAAATACTATTAGTAACTTGGATTACAATAATCCAATGGGCGGAAAGAAAGAAATAACGCTATATTTACAGCGGTCGTCGAATATTCTCAACTACGTCAACGACAAAATTAGAATTTGTAATTCTAATCACTTGCGTTAAGAGTCCTGTACAAGCGGTTGCATCCCATTAAACCTTTTCAAAAGTCAATTTTAATTACTTCGATCATTCAGACAAAACTTGTCTATTTTTTCTTTCACAGTGACTTTTATCAGTTAACCAGTCCCTAAATTCCCAAAGCAAAAATCCATTTGTAAAATTTCTCACGTCTGTGAATTCGTTAAAAATTTCCCTTAGGGCGGAAAAAAAAAGACTCACTTTAAACTCCGACAACGACACAATGTCAGATGTTCATAAAAAATTACTCGCTAAATACAAGGGAGATCTGAAGTTACCAGACACTCCATTATCCTTCACCGAACATTGCTCAAACAAAATAATTACTCTTATGACAGACGAGGACAAAATTCTCAAGGATATGAAGAAGGCAATAGAAGAAGGCAGACCATTGGACAGATTCGAAGCTTACCTGAAGACCTTTCAAAGAGATATCCTCGTAAAAGTAGGATTATCATTCAACGACAGCAAACTGACAGTGCCAGCAGCTCTGAGATCGCCATTCTTGCCGCTACTCCATGAAACCTACCCAAGGACAGTTCGGAATGAAATCTCTGGCAGAAAACATCTGGTGGCCACATTTACATAGAAAGATTTACTACTTTGGGAAAATTTGTATCCAGAGTATCAAGGCGGGTAAGAATTTAAAAATGATTTTGGGCACGAGCAATACTGAGAAATTGCCAATCTTATCTGAACTAAATGAAGAAGTAGACTTAGACTTTGCGGGTCCTTTGGACAAAAATTGAGGCAACTCAGAATATCCATTACTATGCATCGATCGCTTCTCAAAGTTTTCGTCAGCAAAGGTGGTGAATAACACTTCAGCTTCTTCGATTTTATCTTTTATGTCAGATTATTGTCACCTTCATGGATTTCCTAAGTCTACCAGAGTCGATCATGGGTCAAGTTTTTTTTCGAACGATTTTAGAAACTTCTGTGAGAACAACAACATTAACTTAATTTTATGTACGGTCGGGGATCACAGATCCAATGGAGTCGTACAACGACTCATCTGCACAGTTAAAGCAAAACTCATATCAATGTCGTTTAACGAACCAAAACCATCTTTAAGCACGGCAATTGATAAAATCATTTGGAATATTCGTTCAACGAAACAATCATCGATTGGATGCTCTCCCTTTTCAAAACACTTTAATAGATCGCCTTATATGGAAATATCTGGTCTCACACGCGACTAATTTAGATAAAGGGAAATCAATAATGCCAAAGGAAAGAGCTCAAGACTGGGGAGCAAATGACACATTCGAAGACGGCTATCTGGAGAAGGCAGTGGCAGACAAAAGGGGCTACGAGAGCGACCCAACTGACATACCTGACAGAAGCTTTCAACGAGCCCCACTATCCAACCCATTTAGCCAAGGAGGTAATTGGTTTAGGAAGACAGTTAACCGAAGGGAACGCGAACCTTACTTTAAACCCCTTGGTGGAAAACCGCTGTCGGATACAACGCATACGGTTACACTAGACAATGACCATGTGCTCAGAAAATCCGATTTAGCCTTTAAAAAAATCAACTTTCGGCTCCCAGTAAATTTTCAGCAGTTCCGAACTCGATAAATAATAGTTATGATTTAAAAGGGAAACGGAAGAGAAATTCCCAATTGAAGAGGCCGGACTCGAACGAAACTGTCCTATCGACAAGATACAAGCCAACGGGAAAAAAAGCGACAAAAAGGGGGAGAATGAAAACCCCGATTTTCAAAGGTTCAAATTTCGCTTATTCTGAATTAGATTCTTTGCTATATTAAGACCATTGGGACAAAGTTATCGATGACTATTTGGGTACTGACTCGGAAATTGTATATAATACTCCGACTTATAATATTGATAGTGATTTAGATCAATCCGGACGTACCATAGCGAGTGAAATCAACACTCAGACGATTACCTT